TTTTCTGAATCTACAATTCAACGGAGATTCTTCAGCAGAAATACTGAGAAAGCGCCTGTGCCGTTCACTGAAGAAAACCTTCTTCGCAGCTGAACTCAGACTAACTTTCTCTACGAAACCAATGATTCGCACGAACGTGAAGGATAAGCTTCCACTGGGGGCCTCATCAATTTGCATCTACCAATTCACCTGCTCATGTGGAGCTAGGTATGTCGGCCGTACCCAGCGTTTGCTATTCAAACGAATCAGCGAACACTTACCTTCATGGTTTTATAAAGGAGAAAGAAGATCCCCCAGCCACAGCTCTATCCTAGAACACTTGATCGAATCCGGACACCAAGCAAACCGACAAAACAACTTCTCAGTTATCTACACAATACGTGGGAATCTTGCCAAAAGAGTACGAATTAAACTTCTTCAAACTGCAGAAGCAATGGCAATTCACATATTGAATCCTGAACTCTGCATACAAAAGAAGTTTGTTCAGTCACTAAATCTACAATGGTCCTGATCTATCTCAACACCAAATACGTAATTTTGTCTTACCTCTTTCTTCTTTGTTTGTCTGTTTCTTAATTGCATTATTTTCTACCCCCACCCTCTATTAAATCTCTACCGTCATGACGACTGTTGCTAACTCCATTTTCGTTTATTTTTAAGTGAATTCTACTCAGATTATTAACTTGACTCTCATTCATTTTTTCATTGAACCCTAGCAATTAGATTACGTCACCCAACCTACTTTTGTAACTTTATTTTAGTTTCTAACCGATTAACGCCTTCTAAATTACGTAATTTGTTGTCAAAAATTACCAATTGCATCTTTGGAAATATTCCTTTTGTTGCCAAGAAAAATTACTATAAATTTGCGGTTTGTACAGCTTGAGAATGATATCGCCGAAAAGAGTAACTCTTTGCTGAACGCCTTTTTTTTATATATATATATATGTATATATGATGGAAGACAAAAGACCTGCTGAGTGGTTCACTCTATTAGGCATTCAACCTCCATCGCACCCCACAGGTGACAGTTTGAACCTTGTAATACCTATTCACGTTTCAGAAAAGATTCTATGACAACTAGAAACAAGGGTGATTCACAAAATGTAACATGTGTCACTGTACTGTAGTATGTGGTAGCTGAGATTACTGATCACTTCTGGTTAGAAATTGAATGTACGTGATGAACAACGTTTCATTCCTCGTGTTATTATTATTATTATAATTGTCTTCACTGGTATACAAACCTATTTCGCCATTCAATATCAACCAAGATAAACAAATAAATTTTTAGTTCATTGTACAATTTCCTTTTGTTTTATTAAACCAAATGTCATACAAATTAATAATATTTAAAAATTAAAAATAACAAAGAGAGATAGAGACAGAGAGAGAGAGAGAGAATAAAGTCTTTCATGTCATTTGTCATTGTACACTGAATGCATGGCATACATGACTGATACATGACTCTTACTCAAACTTTCGTTTTCAATTAACAATTAGGAGTGGGTGTGTGTGTGTGTTAAAACACGTCTAACTGTAAACTGTACTCAGGAAAAATAAGAGCCGTACAGTATTATAAACAAAACAAGCCAACAAAAAATCACTCCACTCAATGTCAAAAGTGTTCTAGTAGAATATTTAATTAAAATCAAGACAATAGACGTCTCCAGCATTCAATGGGTTTAATTCATGATCTCATTTCAGAGGTACTGGGGTACCTAGACTGCCACCACATGCTCTGATGGTGTGTTCTGTGGACTTTTATCGCCAAATCTGTCAAGGGTGACAGGATAGTGCATGAGGTTTGAAGAAGGCTGCGTGCTATATGCATGCACCTCGCACTGATAATGTCTGTGTGCATCGGTGGTTCGTTCAGTGGTACACTACTACTCCACCAATCACGTACATGACTCGAGGTTCGACCTCTCGTTGACATACTCTGTAAAGCCTCCATTGACTGGTAGTAAAGTATAGGTCCAGTGAGTAGTGAGGGAAGGTAGGGGGTAGGGGGGGGGGTAGGCTGACAACCTCTCACCTCGGAAAAATATAAGCAACATCACTGCTATTGATTGAAACCTTCAAAGTTCATGTGCTTCAGGCTCCATCGTTCATCAGTTGGAACTTAAGGGAATGAAATTTTTACAGGTTACATATTCACTTACACGATAAAATAAATACTACTAATAACTCAGAGAGTTCGCCAACTACCACTACACATCTAGCAGAGTATCAGAAATTCAATTCTAACTGACTGACTGACTGACTGACTGACAGGCTGACTGGTTTCAACATACAACTTTGTACAGAAGTGCACGACTGACTTTAACTTGCCACACTCCATGTACATCACACAAAGGAAGACAAGGAGAGGAAAGAAGCCATGAAAATGTGTGTATATTGCCCCGTCCGTGTTCTTTTCCTATGCAAATTTCTCTATATACAATCATGTGGTATTCTTGTAAGGAGGACATCTGGGAAGGCAATTCTGTTTTTCTCTCAACAAATATCTCCACCATCTAATTCTGTCACAACCAGCGTCAAATATATATTACAACAGCTAATCAACCAACCAAAAGCTGAAAGCAAATCGTGAAACTAATCATAACTGAGGCGCACACTATCCCTGTTCAAAAACGTGTCAACGTGCATCATCAAATCCAAAAGAAATATGGTAGACAGCGCTCTCACAGTCCACCGACAGTGCCACCAATCAGCTGTAGTCAACCTCGCTGCCACATAATCTCAAGTGGACTCCATGTTGAAGTGTATAAGCGCTGAAGTTTATTGTCCAGGGCAGAGACAATGAAAGCTTAGCGTCACGATTAAAACACCCAGATCAGAGAGTAAGTACAACCAGCCCGATCACACCAAAAAAAACAAAACAACATCAGTACTATCTCTGTGTAGGGCTAACATCCATGTCTTAACACTATTTAGAAGTGAAAGCAGAAGGCAACATATTAGCGCCATTCTCTATTGTTCACTACTATGTATGTATGTATGTACATTTTGACATGTGCGCGCGCGCACACAGTAGAATTATTATTATTATTACTGCCATAAATAATCTCATGCTGTGCCTGCCTATTCCTTTGATTCATTTGTGCCTAAACTATAAAGAAAGCATACTATTGATTATTTGTTGTCTACACACACGCACCCTCACACACACACGCACAAATGTTTTGCTTTGCAAGGAATATTAAGAAGTCGTGTGCCACAACAACACATACACACTCCACGAGCACATGACTAAGTATTTTCACAGGAATCAATCTTTCACACAATTGAGATATATAATAGTAACCAATTCACATGTTGAATTGTGCTCTATAAATAATGTGTCTCACAAGTGGCTACAATTTTAACAACTAACTAGTGTAAAAGGTGACGAATAAAAAATAAAACGATTTGTGGAGATCTTCGATTCATTACAATGACTGACTGACTGACTGACTGGTTTCAACATAGAACGCATAGCACAGATGTGCACCAGTTCCAGTTGCTACACTCCCCACTCCATGTACCACACAAAGCAAGAGAAGAGAGTAAACCGTGACGCAAAAGAGACGGAGGGAGATTAGAAACAGAAATATGAAGCAGATGCGACTTCCCAAATAAGTAAAGTGGCCAACCACTTCACTCCCCATCTTTCACAGCTAGGAGTCAGTGTATTCCAGCGCTGTAGCAAAATCTTACAAATCACACGAGACAATCACATGCCAAACATTCAAAGACGGCTGCTCCTCAAGGTATTCAGAAGACTCTCAACTTTGTCGGCGTCTTCACCTAGAACCACGATATCATCCGAATATATTCAAAGTCAAAAACACTACTTATTCTCTCGTAACAAGTCCATTTCTGAGTTGCTGAAGTCAGTTAGGGTTAAGTCCATTAGCACACACATCTACGATGAAATTTAAAAAAAAAATGGGGACAGTCGGTATCCCTGACGAACACCACTGGTTGTCACAATTACAATGGTTAGATATTCATCATAGAACTAACATCTCAGTTAGAGCCATCTCATTGAAAACCAGTAAGGAGCACTGAAGTAAGTAACATCGTCACCAACCAGCTCAATAATGGCTACTACTATTGTAACAACAGAAGACAAGGGCCAGGCAACCGATCGTTTATTAAGGAAAATCAACACATATTTATAGATTTTAATGCACATTATTGTAGATTATTGGTAGTAGAAAATACAGTATTTTGATTGGTTGTTTCTCACAGAAAGTTAACCTTGCATCTCTTTGTCGCTGTCAGATCATCCGTATGCTAACTGTATCTGCCTACGCAAAGCCTTTGTTCTCATTTTCTCACCACCAATATTGGGGACATAAACACTGACGTCAATTACTGTCTACCAACTTTGACTAGCAGCCAGCTCTCACCACACTACTACTACGGCGTCGACTGGATGGATTTCCTGAAGCTGTCTGTACGGAGAAGTGGGGTGACCAGCTGGGTCCACAAAATCACAAGGGGAATGGAATGTTCATCGTGGAGGCATTGTTTGAAGGAAGTGCTATATCACCACCATCACAACGGGTCACTGAGAATTCTTGCCCAAGGGGTTCAATGGTCAACGGACTTCGTCTTATAATCTGAAGGTCCAGAGTTTGATCCCACCCTGGAAGGGTGGGCGATGGTGAAGAGTCTCAGAATAAGACAAAGCACCCGTCCACTGCTCTCTGTCTCTCTTTAACTGATGTTGGTTGGTTGAGAAAATCCAGCTATTGTAAATAAGAAATGAGGACACCAATGAATAGTCAGTTGCAGAAATTGTTGAATACAGCTCAGACAAAAAAGATGTGTGTCAACCATACTTAACTCAGAATCGAAAAGCTTCTAGGATGATAAGATTGAGAGAAAAATATTCAGACTAACTCTCTTCAGTGACTAGGACTGACACTTTGTCAATAATTTATAATTAGAAATATGACCAAATGTAGTGAGTATAAAAGAAATAATTATATATCAAGACAACTTACAGCAAATACTGAAGTTAGAAAACCCAGTATCAATCCAGCTAAAACATCCGTCGCATGATGATAGTGATCAGTTACACGAGTAGTGCACACATATATCAAACTAGCGATTAGTGCATACTGAATGAATGGTCGAAACAAAGGCAATGGAGGCAACTGCAGGCGAGCTTGGAGATATATCTGTCAGAAGGAGAAAACAACACACAGAAGACAGTTTAGTCGTGGTGGTGGCGATGCTGCAGCTGCTGCAAAAAACTACAAGTTTCTCAATGTCACGTTTAAGAGTGGAAGTCGTTCAGAACTTTTACACACACATCTATAAAGCGTTAAAGCAATGCCAACAGGGTTACTGCACTCAGTGACAGTGACTCATCCTGGGATGTTCTTACTCAATACTGTGCTTCCTTTGATGCTGCAGCCTCGTGTGCCACTTGCCAACTTACACCATCTATGGCTTAGCAGACGTGATATCCGGTTGGCTATCGATCAAACGAAGTGCGTGTAACTTTGCTCTCTCATCCTTTATGGTTAGCTGGCTATGAGGTATGGCCATTGGAAGTGGAAGGCATGAAAAGGCTGCATGTCTTTGACCACATATGCCACTCTCTCTCCTATGTCCGATGGTATAACATGGTGAATAATAATTCAGGTAAGGAGGCAAAGTTAATCGATGATGAGGTTCCGAAGCAGTTACTTCGATTTTGATGGCTAGGACGTGTGTCACACACAGACACCCCACACTATCATATGAGATTGAGATCAGATAATTCGTCTAATTAATTATTACCTTCTCAAATTGGACTTTCGTGTTCAGCTCATTCACTTTTGACGTGGCATCGCAAAATTTAGGTCCAAGTGTTAAGATTTGCATTTGAATCGGTGATAGTGAGACATCAGAATAATTAAACACGTATTTCTCTGGGGAAGTAAAAGAAACCGTTTCTTTGGTAACAGACTTTAGACTTTGGTTTAGTTTTATTATGACTTCCTCAAAATGAATTATCTTCGATGCAACCGTCTTTTTAACAACTACTATCATCCAATGTGTGTATTTCATGATTTGACCTTATCACGTCATTTCTATTCTATCTTCCTGATCATTACACTTTCAAATTTTATTAATTTGACCTTTGGCAGGAAATAATCCTGGAAATTTCTCACACATTCACTACAAAATACAAAAATGTTCGTTGAGAAGTATATTTGTTTCGCTGTAACCCCATTTTTAATAATTCCGTAATCGCGTATTTTCAAAATTTTTCCAACCTATCCTCAAAAATTGAGGAAAAAACATCACTGTGATTGGCAGCGTGCATTCAAATGTACAGAAATTAATCGTATCACTGTCCTTCAAGTTGTCAGTAGTACTAGCTGCAGGTCTCTGCCTAACAAAGCCGACTACCTCCAATCTCTAATATCCTCAAAATGTGTATCGAAATGCTGGTGTTTCAACCATACAAGAGACTTGGCTCCACCAGAAAAAATGACGACAATCTAATTTCACTAAATGAACATAAAATTCCCCATCACAACAGACACAGTTCAAAGAAAAAGCATAACGGCGGGGTAGCCACTTTTATCAATACACAGTGGTCTACATGTAGTCATGTATGTTTTAATTTTTCCAGTGACAATACACACTGTATCACTGTTAGGTGTCGTCCACAGCATTTAAGAAAATATTCCTTGAGATCGCAGCCTTCCTATATCACTTGGTCACAAGAACCTTGTCAAATTCAATGCTTGTCTGCACAAAACACCCTAGACTTGCTTTTCATAGACGATCGTGACATATATGAGGCGTGAAGGAGAGCTCCACTGCTGAATTCTGACCAATGCATTATTCGTATTCTACGGAGAGTGTATGGCGAGTTACACGGAAGTGCTATAAAAGGACACAGAACAAGTTGGATTCAGGAAAGCCAAATCATCTGCGGATCAAATTGCAACTCTACAAATCATCATCGAACACAGCATACAATGGCAATCGAATCTTTCTCTACCTCGACTTCATCGACTTCGGAAAGTCCTTCAACATCGTTGACATAGAAGTTATTTGCAAACTACTTCAACACTATGAAGTGTCCAGTGCCGCAAATCGTTATCAACCTCATTCAACAGCTAGCTCTATGTGATAGTGCCACATATCATAGTCATTTATAATCCACAAAGGAAAACTCAGAGGAACCTTTGAAGTGAAGACAGAAGTAATACAAGGCTGACTACTATCACCAACAATGATATCCCTAATTGTCGTCGACTGGATTATACCGAACACCGTGAGTGGAGGACAGCTAGAAAACAGGAATACGCTGCACTGACTGATAAGAAGACTCTAGAAAATCTGGAGACATCACGGATGATTTATATCTAGTGTCACATAAATTCGAAGACTTACAGACGCAAACCAACAAACTGGCAGAAGAGGCTAACAGCGAAGACAGGACTCCATCCAGGTGAACATTGAGAAGACGGAGGTGATGAAAATGCCCAGCTAACAACAACAACAACCAACCACTACCAGCGGGTGAAATTGGAAAGCGATCACTTCTTCACTTATCTAGGAGGCAGCTTCGTTTCAACTACAGCCAGTATACGGCACACATGAGCATGTCAAAACCAGCCAGACCAGAATCCGAAAGACACGATAGACAAACCTTCACCATTTTGAAATCAGTCTGCAAATCTTCTGCACTCAGCCTCAGCATAGACAACAACATTCAGATTATCAACACCCATGTGGTTAAATCAGTTAGTGCTTCTATATGGGTCGGAAACTTGCACTGCGCGTGCATCACGAAAGGCATTTCCAACAGGCTACACGACAGACTTTCATCAACAGCTGCCTCCTTTGCTGGCTGGCTCCATACTGAAGATCAGCTGAGCAACAAGAAACTCTGGAAACGAACCAATCGAAAACTTGCTGTTCAAAAAGTAACCCAAAGAAAATGGAAATGGATTCGACACACACACACACACTGAGAACACCGTTAGGTGACATCACGTGCAATGCAGGCCATCACTGGAGTGAAACCCAAAGAAGAACGAGGAGTTGGGCGTGTCCGAGGGTGACATGGAGAAGATCACGTGAGTAGAAGATCAGAACCTATGGACAATCGTTGAGCCAACAAAAAGCGGCGTGCTGAGAACAGGACAAAATGCAAATGTTGTGTTGAGGCCTCACACGTTCCACTGGAAACCTAGCAGTCGACGTCAACAGCTCAATAAATCAACATTAATAGGAGAACACAAAGGCACATTAATTTAAAATATAACTTCAAAAATTATGTCAACACATACCACAGAGAAAAAGACACCTGCAGCAGCTGTTGATGCATGACCAGACACAAATGATAAGCTAAACAAAATTTTAAAAAACTTTTATCATTATTCTTTAAACACAAAAGAACTTGGTACAGTATGGCACCAAAAATAATGATAAAACATATATTAGAAGTAAAAATATGGGTGGAGAACGGATAAAGAACATCATCTGGAAGGAAAACAATCATACTTAACAAGTTCAAACAGCATTCGTCAACTATTGTCGGGAAGGCAAGAAAGAAGGAAACTGCAGCACATTCGCCTTTGATTACGACTCTTGGTCATATTCGATTATGTTTCGAGCCATCGATCCGAGCTATCTCTCGAACTCCAACCAGGGAGTCATGAAGCACCAACCGATGCTAACCTAACGCGAACATCCTTCGTCCCACGATGCCAAGTCATGGGCTGACCACCACCTACCTCTCCGAAGTTTTCATCCCGTCCCAGGGCTGGTCAGCGAACAGAGACCTGTACGGAAGCCTCTGGGATGATATTCGCAGCACATGTCCCAGCCACCCTTTCTAACCCCACTGTTGGTTGGGAACAGTGATGATAGTTGGTTGTATGCCTTCACACTACCTGAGGTGTTTCTGCATAGAGCTTTCAGGATGCTGACAAACTTCTCAGGTACACCCCTCTTTAACAGACAGTTGCAGAGCACAGTTCTTGCCAACGAATCGAAGGCAGCCTCAACAAAAAGAAACACAATGATTGTTGGCCTGCAATACGTCTGGCGGTGTTCCAACAACCGACGAAGGGTGAACACATGATCAATGCATCCACGACCTGAACCAAACCTAGCCTGCTCTTCGCGAATCAATCCCTCACGTGTTTTATACAGCCTGCAAAGCAAGACAGCAGTCAATATTTTAGACGCAACTGCCAGCAGACTGATACCCCTATGATTGTCATATGAGTTACGCCAACCCTTTTTAAAGACGGGGACGATAATGGCTTCGTTCCACATTGATGGTACATTCTCAGTTTCCCATACTTTCCTGAATAATCCAGTTAAAGCCATTACTAGGGTTTCGCTACCATCTTTAAAAAGAGCCGGGGGTAGATTGTCTCAGCAGGGTGCCTTATGGAGTTTTAATACTTGGAGTTCCTTACGAACCTTTGCTTCGATTGGTGGGTCGGTACTAAAGCTGGCGGCCAGCTAAACTGCTTCGTAAAGTGATCTGCCCAGCGTTTTAGGCGTCTTTTCAGGCTGGTAATTAGCGTGCAACCTGCCTCACATGTCGTCACGCTAACACTTTGTTTCTTGCTGCCAATGGCTCGGATGAGATAGAACAGCTTCCAACCGTTGCCAGATGCAGCAGCTGACTGCATCTCACACGCACGTTCTGACCACCAGGCTTTGCGGTCCTTACGTAAATACTGTCTAATTAGAGAAGCATTCTTTATAGCCACAAATGGCTACACTCGTCATTTGCATGGCGCCTTGCAGATGAAGCCAATGTTCATCTATACTACTTGAGAGGTTGCTAGCAAGCATTGATTTTAACTCATTCTGGTATTTCAAAGAAGTAGAAAGTGCTACTAGTTTGCTCACATCAATGATTAGACGACGCCTTTTATGACACACACTAACGCATGATCAGAGTCCAGGCATGTGCTCCAAAAGGAGCGGCAGTCTTGTATGTATCCTCGCCATCGAAAACTGACATCAATATGATCAATTTGAGTCCAAGCTTAATTCGCAGAGGGAGGACGCCAGGTGGCGCTACAGTGATGGCTGGCCGGAAGTTGGTGCTGACTAGAAATAGGCTGTGATTTGCGCAGAGCTGCAGAAGACGCTCTCAATTATCCGACCTGGGACCATGTAAACCCCATTGACCACCTAGACGATTCTCCTCTGAGCTTAGACGCACGACCTGTGCATTCAAGTCCCCAGTCAGCACTACGATGTCCCTCCAACGAGCCTGTTTCAAGAGCACGCTCAGTTGGCAGTAGAACTTATTTTTAATTGCATCCGTGCTGCAATCTGTCAGTGCATAGGCAGAGACAACGACCGTCTGGCCTACCACTCCTGATTTTCTTATAGCCCTCCAGTCTCACATCATACAAACGACTGTTAGTGGGGATCCAGTCGAGTGATGCAGCTCCGGCTCTAGCACTTAGTGCGACACCGACACCAGCCACGCCGAATGCCGACGCCACAGGGTACCCGGACAAGCGCAGGTGGTACATAATATTCGAACTTCCAGATGGAGAGGATAATCGAAACACTTCACTGGGATCTTGAATGTGGGTCTCCGAAATACAGCAGACATCGATAGCGAGGCTTTCCAATGTTCTCACCAACCCTGCCTATTGTCCGATTTGCATCAGCGTCTGAACATTGTAAGTGGCCAGCTTGAAGGCGGCACGTGGTTTCAGGATATCTGTGTTAGATGCGACATTGAATTGGGGACAACCATTTTGAAGGCTACTTACTCACTAACATCTCGAAACGACACAGATAGGTTGGGAATTCAGACAAAGGCGAAAGGCTGATGAAAGTGAAGACGTGTAGCTTAGAAGATGTAAAATACAGGAGTCCATGTATAAAAATAAAAGTAAGGTTGGAAAGAGATGTGTCACTTGAAACATCATTATTCCTTGAAAGCATTGTTAAGAGCGCGCGATAAGTTTCACTGACAGTTTGTTGCTTTATTTCGTTGGTTGTATGAGGGCTGAAATATTGCCCGGGCGCTCAGACCGAAACAAGTCTTAATGGACCACCCTGCGAGCCTTTGACTTGGAGTCTAATCCGCACGGTAGCGGAACAGCATCAGGAGCTACGTTCTCATGGTTGCCAGTGACCAATGCAGGTTCATACGCCATTTGATCCGATTGGATTCTGGAGCCCATGTACCTCGTGGTAACCACTTTTAGTCTAACCACTATCCACACAACCTTCCTGACACGGTAGTGCATGCAGGAACAAGAGTCCCAGACAGCTTAACTTGTTGGGTCACTGCAGTATTCAAGCCCGACCACCACGACAAGATAGCAGTTGTAGGCCGGGAAGAACAAAAAACGAAGCATAAACGCATTACTAAAAATACACAGAAGAGTAAACACAAAGATAAAAATTTGCAAAGCTAAGAGTGTCACCTTTTTTACGACAGATCACATTTAAATATTTTGGGGTAATGATGACTGACTGACTTAACGTGAAGTGAGAATTCGACTTGTCACAGAGCTACAAATACCACTGTCTTTGTTAACGGAACGAATTTGTCAACTAGCCAGTCGTATTCAAATGACACTGAAGGCTTTCAAGCAGATAGATGCGCCTTTGGTCTTTCTTCGTTGCTTGCTTTCCAAGCTCGGTTATCCACTTACTTATGCGGCGCTTCCACCGCTCTTTTGAACAAAATCTTCACAGATAACTTCCATATAAAGGTTGACAAACAGACGTCGCTTGTTCTTTAATAAATAAACTATACAGCAGTGTTACATACACTGGAGGACTGCACCGAGGAATGTGTTGACAAACAGTTACGAAATCTCCAAAGAATCTCTTGATGGAAAATACTTCCCCATCCAGATTCATAGACAAGAACCTGAAGCCAAAAACAAAAGCTGCTGAATAGTTCCAGGTTACCCCACCCCATCCCACCCCACCCCACCCCTACACGCACACACACATACACACCCAGAAAGTACCCTGATCCTGGATCCAGAATTTAAAAGTGATACTGAAGCAGAAATTATCCGAAGACACTTTTTAAAATCTCTCTGCCAGACCAGTAACAATTTTTTCCTCCAAGAAACTATTCCACTAGCACATGAAGGACAAACTGTCGTCGCATTGGGTCGTATCATCAACACTCATGTACCAGTTCGTTTGCTCGTTTGGGGCTGAATACACTGACCGTATCATACATCCACTGGTAAAACACACTCGGTAACACCATCCACTATGGCTAACAAAGAGAGAACAGAACAGAACACATCTATCTGGTGAACTCAATATAATGATCTATTGAAAAATCCTTCAAAATCATATACAAGAGCTGATTATATCTCTGAAAGGGAGTGAAATTAAAATATCTACACATAGCTGAAGTACTACCATCAACTCTAAATCTCAAGCCAATGCTACTACTATGTATTCAAAAGTACATCCAACTCTTTTCTTTCCTATAGCTATTATAAACAGTCAATTCTCTCAATAGTGATTATCCCCCATCACCTTTTACTTATCATAACTTCCTGTTTACTAATTTTGTAATTAAAATTACGTTTTTAGTGCTCATTTGTATTCTTGTTAATCGTTATAATTAAACCCTTGAAGCAAAATTGTTTAGGAACTTTCCCCCATCCCCTTACTATACATGTAAAGAGAGAGAGAGAGACATGCACAAATACACAGCCCAGTTGGTGACTTTGTCAAAAAGAAATAAAACATTTCCGTCGCTGCAACTGTCCTTTTTTCTAATTTTTCCTTATCATCTAATGTCTATATTCGCTCCATACTTGAATTATTAGTCTTTCACAAAATTCCCTCAGGGTTGGCTTTCTGTCTGGCTAAACTTAATGAAGAAATGTATATTTCGCCAACTGAAAACCCATGACTGAATCCAAGCCCGATTTATTATTGATTACTAGTAATAACCAGACTCAGGGATTGATTTGCTCCTAGGGAATAATCTCGTTGACCCAGAATTTGCAGACGATATAGTCCTTCTAGGCGAGGACGCTGAAAAAATCCAGCAGAGCCTTCTGAACACCTTGAGCTGCAATCTACGAATGTTTGGCATGCGATTCGCTCCCGCCAAATGTAAGATGATGCTACAGGACTGGACTACACTGACTCCTAGTTTAGAAATAGGGAGTGAAGTGGTAGAGCACGTTGACCGCTTCACTTATTTGGGAAGTACCAGCAGCCAGTGCCAACGGGTTGATCTCTGACGAAATCCTAGCTGGGTACGGATACAGAGGGCTAGTTTCGCTTAGGCCCGCCAGTTTACGCCGTCTCTGGCTTAGTAGACGTGATATCCGACTATCGACCAAAGGGCGTGTGTACTGCTCAGCAGT